TATCCCCCAGAGGGTAGAGGAGCCTCGTCAAGGCTCTGTCATAAATTTTTAACAAGCCAGTCCGTCTGTCCTCTTGGGGAGTGTGTGTATATTTGCACATTTATATCTTCCTTTTTCTTCACATTGGCAATTGAATGGAAATGGGGAATGTATAAACATTATCACCAATATTGTAACATTATCACCTTATTGTTACAAAGTGTGAAAAACTGTCCGTAAAGCATTAAGCCACTTTACTATACACCAAGAGATATTTACAGCAATGGCATTTTTATGAATTGAGTAGCTAGTGTTATTAAGAAGTACTAATTAGGTTCAGCCCATCAGAGCAACATTCTCTTGTAATGCATGGGTGTTATTTTGCATCCCCCAAATATTATGACCGCACATTTATCTGCACGTACACACTGTAATGATACATTGCAAACACTCATTCACACATGTAGGCAGTGTATACAGTTAATAGTGTATATGTCAGAATATGACCTGTGGCACTGTCCTTCTGGGACTTTCCATTGACTTCCATTAATTTCCCATTAATTTCATTAGCCTAACCCAGACCTTCACCCTTACCCTACCCATTACCAACACATACTGTACCTAACTTTATAATGCTAACACAAACTCGAATTAAACCTTAGTCATAAACCTAACTCAACAGTACCTGTAAGTCCCCACATTGTCGTATATTCTTGGGAAATTGTGCCCACAATGTAACACACACATACACTAAGGTACATTTTTGGTTTGCTTAAATAACCATGAATGTATAAATAAAAATTCTTTGTTTTTAGCTTCACTCAGCAAAACACAAATTATATTTTCCAATTAGAGAAGGGCATTATCACTGTTTGCACCATGTTAGTGGTCTTGTTTGCCCCAGTGATGAACATGCTGGTCAAGGCTACAGAAGTGGAATGTAGGGGCCCCTTGTCCAGATCCGGCATTCTCCAACCACCAATTAGGGCCTACATGGATGAACTGACTGTCACATCAACATGAGTGACTGGATGCCGGTTGCTCCTCCGCTGTCTGGAAAGGATCATGGCATGGGCAAGGATGATGTTTAAGCCAGCCAAGTCCAGATCCCTTGTCCTGAGGAAGGGGAAAGTGGGAAACATTGTCAGAGAAGCCTGTGAAGAGCTTAGGGAAGATGTTCGATAGCACCCTGAAAGACAAAGCACCAGTGGAGGCAGCCCATGTAAAGCTAAAGGCATGGCTAGCAGCAGTGGAAACGTCTGGTCTCCCAGGGAAGTTTAAGGCATGGATATACCAGCATGGCATCCTGCCAAGACTTCTGTGGCCACTACTGATTTATGAAGTTCCAGTAACCATGGTGGAGGGCTTTGAACCCAATGTCAGCCAATACCTACGGGGATGGCTGGGTCGGCCAAAGAGCCTCAGCAGCATTGCCCTCTAGGGGCACTCCAACAAGCTGCAGCTTCCTTTGACTGGCGTGACGGAGGAGTTTAAAGTCACCAGAGCCAGGGAGGTGTTGCTTTACAGAGACTCTGCTGACACCAGAGTCTCTTCTGCCGGCATCACAGTCAGAACTGGGAGGAAATGGCGAGCACAACAGGCAGTCAACCAAGCAGAAGCGAAACTGAGACATAGCGTCTTAGTTGGCTCTGTGGCAGTTGGACGAGCTGGTCTAGGTAGCCACACAAAGCCACGCTACAACCAAGCCCGAAGACAAGAGCGATGACAGATGGTACAGGGAGAGATTTGTGCAGAGATAGAGGAGCAACGCCAAAGTAGGAGGGTGGAAATGCACCAGCAAGGAGCCTTGACCGATTGGGACCATGCATCTGCCCGGAAGATCACCTGGACAGAACTATGGAAGTATGAAGAGCAGGACTTAAGTTCCTGATCTAGTCAGTGTATGATGTCCTTCCAAGTCCATCTAAATTTTATATCTGGAGCCTTGCAGAAGCACCAACATGCCCACTGTGCCCGGATCATGGTTTCCTGGAGCACATCCTGAGCTTCTGCCCTAAAGTGCTGGGAGAGGGAAGGTGCATGTGATGATAGGTGTTGAAGGCAGTAGCAGACACTATCTGCACTGGAATCCAGGAGTCAAAGCACCAGTCTCCTTTGAGGCACAATATCTTCTTTGTCAGGGCAGGGGAGAAACCTGAGAGAGCAGGTAAGGGCACAACTTGACTGCTAGCCATGGCTCGGGATTGGCAGTAGCATGTGGACCTCGGAAGGCAGTTAAAGTTCCTAGAGCACATTGCAAGGATGTCACTGAGGCCAGATCTGGTCTCAACATCTGACTTGAAAAAGCAAGTCGTGTTACTGGAGCTTACAGTACCCTGGGAAGACAGGATGGAGGAGGCTCACGAAAGGAAGAAGGTGAGATATCTTGAGGTCATTGAGGCATGGAGACGCCATGGATGGAGGGCCCACTGTGAGCCAATAAAAGTGAGCTACAGAGGCTTCCTCAGTCTGACGGCATTGGGCATTCAGGATCCTTCACATCAGAGGGTTGCTTGAGAAAAGAGCAACCGGAAACATCAGTGAGGCCACTGAAAGAGCCTCAAGGTGGCTGTGGATCAAGATGGGAGACGCATCGAGTAGCACGCTGCTTGAACACAAACTGGGGCATGATCAACCCCAGTTGGGATGCCCAGACGAGGGTGTCTAAAGATCAAAGACCCGAAACACCATATGACCCTGGGTCCTTCACTGATGATGTGTTCAAGCTGCACCGGCTAGGTGTTTCAAAATCGTAATCTAATCTATAGATTTGTAACCATCTCAAAAGTAAACAGATATTTTATGAGATTAATTTAATATCACTTGGTAAAAGGCTGTACTAAATGTGGATCTGTATGGAGAAAATCTGGAGAATACTTGTTGTGAATACTGGAGAATAAGTTGTGAATATTCTCCAGATGTTCTGGATACAGATGTTCTGTATTAAAGAGAACAATCATATATGCTTTCTGTCTGGTGTGTTATCTTTTGTCTCAAAAACTGTATATTTTACTTCTTACATTTGTCCTTATATAACGATTTAATGGGCAATCACATTTTTGTTCATAACACCACCCAAGGTGTGTTAGTATTCAATACATAATATATATTTGTCTCTAGTACTTAAAATGTACTAAGCTACATATCCCATTTGTCCTGAAATAATTGTAAATGTATATTCTGTCAGTAGGAAATAATAATGGCTGTAAACTTCAGTGCAGGGAACAGAAAATCCTTGCACATCAAGGGCTTCATGAATAATAATTTCATCGCCGCTACCTTGTGGTGATTCCAGAGTACAGATGTTTGTTTATGGGTAAACTAGACGGTATATTTAGCAGCTGACAGGTCTGGAACAGATTCAAGGACTGGAGGCCAAAGAGATGACACTCTTGATCAAAAATGAGATCCCTACGAGCAGCCATGGTCATAGACGTAAATAGACATGTATCTACTAACAAATGACACAATAAATAAACATCTTGTTTAGCTCAGATGTGCCTGTTATACCCTTAAAAATTACAGACCCACTGATACTGACTTTGGGAAACAACCAGTAGCAGTCTATTTTTTTCAGAATTTCCTGCACTTCTAGTATGTGAATCCCCATTTCTTTTCTCTGATGGAAAAGAGTGTCTGACAGAATATTTTTGCATACCTGCCTCCTATTCCTCCACTTGGGTGCTCTAACTGTCCTGAGACAAAGTAGGGGAGGAAAAGATCAAGTTCATTTGTTACATATGTAAATTTACCTAGAGGTAAGACCACAGTCCGCACTAAGTTATTAGCTTTTCTCTGTTACCCTCTTTCTCTGCTGTTTCCCTTGGGATATCTATTTCTCTTATTCTCTGCATTCCCTCTTAAAGTATATGCCATTTTTACTCTGGGAAGCTCTTTTACAACTACAGAAAGCCATGTTTATCTATAATTAGGGTTACACAATATATCACGTACTTTTTTCTGACAATATCTCTATGTGTGATATCAATATAACAAATTCTATTGCTTTTTCACATTTCTGCATAAGAGGTGAGAGGTTGGTGGGGTCTCAGCACGGCACTATCTATGCTGGAAGCATCACTAGCAGCGCTCAGTTAAAGCATACTAACATACCTTTGTTTTTAGGCAGTAATAATTTAACTGTAAGTCTTAATTTTAAATTGTGATCAAGAATGTCTTGACTTCAGTGTTTGGTTCACAGTATATCACAGCATATCCATAGCAAATTTACTGCATGAATGTATTATGTACTTAAATAATGTAATGTATATAGTGCAATGTAATTTTTCTCTTCGGTCTGCTGGTTGATGGTAATTTTGGGCTTGTTAGGTCCCAACTACCTGACCCAACAATTAGTTGAAATAAAATTTCACCGAATTTGGTAAAAGTTGGAGCTCTTTCATTAGTTCCCAATCATTCCTCTGATTTTTTTTGGAAAGTTTTTTTTTTTTTTACCTGCAAGCAAGGTTTTTTTTATTGCTATAAGATCATGTTATTCTCAACACTGATGAGCTACTGTATGCATTTATTCTTGTGCCTTAGCAATTGTACATGACTGACTATACAGCTCCACTGCTGGGGCGAACTGTATAGTGCCTTTTAATGGAAACCAACAAGTCTGTCTGTTGGAATGAATATAATTTGGTGGGAAATGTAGTTTATATATATTCATATTACATACACTATAGAAGGTTAATCAATAGACTAGGGAATGTCCATAATAAGTAATATAAATGAGTATGAACACATGCAAACTTCCTGTGTTTCAACCTTTCCATTCTGACGTGGTGATACACTAAGCTGTGTCCTTTAGTGGGCAGTAAGTGTTACAGGATTGTGAAGGTCCTGTGGTTTCAGCTCTGTGTGAGTGTGAGATGATAAACATTTTCCTGTCTCTTATTGTCTCCATCATGGTTTTAAAAATGCTATCTTCTGTATGAGTTTCTAATATTAGATTTTAGCTGTGAAACATCCTTTGGGCAGCTTCTAATCTAAAGTCCCATTTCAATTTTGTCCCCTAGAAACTGGCCACAGCTGCTGAAGTGTTCCAGAAGGAGCATGTTTGGAAAGATGAATTTGAGGTAAACAGGAAAGAAAAATGCACACACCAGAAAACACAAACACACAGGACCATACACAAAGGCTTTAAAAAGAAAGAATTAGTTACAGAGATGGTCCTTCATTAAGTCTGGATTTACATTTACCTCTTTGATGTGATGTCTTATCAGGTTTCTGTCGTAAACATAGATCACACCTTCACTGCTAAATGGAGCCATCTTTATTGTATTTTGTGGCATATTGGCTCTGTTCGAATTCATGGGCTGCATCCTCCAAGGACGCGGTCTACCTAGACTGGATCCTCCGAAGTCCGTGAAAATAAGGAGACCGGAAGTGTTTTGGCTGTGAATTCAAACAGGTCTGCCCTTCGGCGGGTTTTACCGCCGTATGCTCTGTGGCTTAGCAACCGTTAAAGTTGACACACAAAGCAGGAATAGAATGAATACCGAAGTTTTCAAAACTGTTTGTTTATTTCTTTCCTTTGTATTGTAAAGTGAACAAAGACTACACTCACAAGAATCCAGAGTGGAATAAAGGTTCCAACCACCGGGAGCATGAATAAATAAAATCAAATGTAATGATAGAAACCTTAGTCAGTTATATAACATGCTGCTGTCATTTTGCACATCTCTGATGTTGCTGCTATTTTCTAATATCCATAACTGTAAAAATGTCCATAGCCGCATATTGGTTATTTATTCTCCAGTTTTATATTGTTAAAACACTTTACAGAATTGTATTGTTTATATTTTAACTATTCCCTATTATGTTATTCTTATACATTTTTCTAAGGTCCTCATTTGTGTGACCATTTTCAATAATCTTTCTGCTGCTGTAATTTTGCCCAATAAAGGGATTTTCTATTCTATAAAAGGGGTAGAAATATATAAGTAAATCTAAACAATCACTGCAAAATCACTAATATTCAACAAACAGAAATACTTAGTTAAGCATATTGTGCAAAACAGCAATAAAAAAATTAAACTCCTATCAGATTTATAGTCCTCACACTTCAGATATATTAGAATCTGTCCTTAAATTACAGCCAAACTCATTTACACAGTAACAGATAAAAAGCTTTAGATAAATCAAACATTGCCGCCACATATCTGACTCAATAACCATTAAAACAACTATTTTCATTCATTTCACATGGAACTATTAACAGACTTGTATTATATTAAACTGAACTTCCAATTTTCACCACTGTCACATTACGAGGAGTCTTGGAATCCAACCAGACCTCGGCGCCACACTATGACGTAATCATCCTTCGAATCTGGCCTTCTAAGGATGCATCCCAGGATTTCGAACAGAGCAATTGTGTCTTATTTCAAGACAAGTACAGACAGTTTTTAATGTATGAATATTTTTTTATCACAAACAGTGTTTAAAATACTAGATGGAAGCGGAGGTGGTTTCTTTTAGATTTGATATCCAGAAAGTGACAACAGAAGCAAAAATAACAAAATACAGAAAACCAAAATAAGAGACATCAGGTAAAGCACAGACGAGGAGCGAACGACGAGAAACTAACAGAGTAACTGAATAGGAGTTGTATATATGGGGGACAGAAACAATGGGACGACTAATTAGCAGATGACGAACAGGTGTGGACAGAAGAATCTAGAAGGGAGCTAGGAGAATGAGACTGACACAAGAGGGTGACAGAGGGTAAACAAGAAATACATAAGAACTCAAATTCAACCAAAAACAGCTAGAATAACAAAAATGGAGATAAAACCAATGAAAACCCAAAAAGAAAACTTAAACATAACCAAAACCATGACAGCTTGCTGCCACCCACACAATATACACCTGTATAAACACATACGGTAGGTAAAAGTCAAACATTAACTAACGCAGCATTAATAGGATAAATCAATGTTTTTTTTTGGTTCTTTTTTTTTATCTGCAGAAGATGTGAACCAAAATTCTGTTTAAAATGAATAGAAGGAAAATATATTTTTTAAGTATAAAATATACCTATTTACAAAATCAAGGAATGTGTGAAAGAAATGTCACTGAAAAAGAGAGGTATTCACTGAAAGAAGTACAAGCGCATTTTATCAGCGTGAAGAAGAATAGTTGTTTATTTAATGCTGTAGTTTGGAGATTTGAAGCTAACCTCACACATACTACATCCCACGTCAGCTCCCTCATACCCTGATACAAGTTGCTTACTTTTTTAGCCCTGCAACCCTTTCTATGTAGCAACAATGTTGACTCTCCTCCTCTTTTTTACAGCCACATTAAAGGTGGCATTTTTAATCATTCTCAAAGAACCTCAACACCCATCATATCAAAAACAACAACTAAATGGAAAAATTGCAATTAAAATACCACAACCCCATCATCATAATATACATTAATGAAATCCAATTGGAACCAAATTTGAATTAAAATGTAATACAGTCTCACACACATCATCCCAACAGGATCCTGGGGATTCTCATGAAAGAGACACTCAGATCAGTCAAACTGCCAGAGGAAATGTTAAACGTCTTTAATGATTGATTTGCGTACTAAACTTAACTGCCTGTGTGTCTTTTGTTAGCATTGTTTTTCTCCAAATAGCAGGCAAACCTTAAGCCTCCGAACTCAATGGTTATGTTCAATATAAAGCATGAACATTGGTTTCCAGTGTCCAAAATTATTATCATGGTTTATGGCACAAGAGGGCTATATTGAATTATTTTTCCTGAAATATAGTTAAGAAACACCCAAGTCACTTTTTGAATAACTGCACACCCACAAGACCATCCTAACTGCTCTTCCACTACTCAGAAGGATCGCCTATCTAACATGAATGCATGCATGAGTGTGTGTGAGCCCTGTTTCACTTGTGTGTAGCTCTGTTTAAGGTCTTTCTGCATTGTTCAGAATTTTAGTATGTATCGAAAGCAATGGCGCAATAATGAATAGGTGCAACAGAAGAGCACTGCATGCACAAGCACTGAAAGTGCACAACACAATAAAAGGAAACCTGCAAGGAAGGAGCACACAAATTGGTGTTAAGTGAACACATCAAATAGAATATCATGTAGTAAAACAGCAGATATGATGATTGGCTTGGATAAAAAAAAAAAAAAAAAAAAAAAATTCACTACGCCTTAAATTTTTTCCCTCAAAATAAAAGATTGAAATTATTTAATTATCTATAATGTGATCATATGTGTGGTTTATCTACATATAGCAATCCCAGAAATCCAACCATGTAGTTTGTGGCAAAAATTATCAATTCATTACTTTCCTGTCACATTCCCACAAAAAAAAATATATTTTTTTCTGATTTCTGTGACAGATTTTCAGAGAATGCCTTTATGAATACAAGGTCATAATCCATAAATGGAAGGCTTAAAAGGCTGCTTTTATTTAGAAAATGTACATATCTTTTAAAAACTATGAAAAGGCTGAACAATTCATGTGCATTGATTCTTTCAGGATCCTTAGGTTTTTTTGTTCTAAAATGCTAATATTTGGCTTTTAATAATTTCCTAATTAGCAAATTTGTAATTTTGCTGTAATAATGTTTTTCTCGTTTGTTGTTTTGTTAACAGGCTGATGAAATTTCCTACTACAACGCAAAAGACAATGTAAGCAATTTTATTTCATTTTTTGTCTTTTTTGTCTTAAGTCCTTGGTAGCAGCTAAGAAATAGTACAAGAATTTTTTTTTTTTCTTACAGGGTCCTATTTTTTATACAGCTCGTCTTCCCTTCTGTCTCCTATTTTACCCATACTATTCACCACATTCACACATTCCCCCCCCCCCCCCCCCCCCCCCTTTCTCTATATATTGCAGTTCCCCCTTCTCTTTCCCACTTCTTGGGCTCTTCTTCCCATGCAAGCCTCCTTTCAGTCATCTTTCCTCCAACCCTCTCTCAGGTGAAGAGGTTCCTGCCATGCTTCTCCCCTAATTGACAGATGAGATGTATGAGCTGGCTACACTGTTGCTTTATTAGGAAGCAAGTGTTCACACCATCCTTTGCTGACTCCCTCTCTCTCCCAACACCTCACCGCCTTTCTACTATAGATTCCTTCATATCTCATCAGTTTTTGCTTTTGCCCACTTATTGTTCTTTTTCTACAGCTTTCTTTTTATGCAAATCTGGAGGTTGAATACACTGCCTAACACCCCTCCTTTGGAGGGATTATGAAAGAGCTCACAGCATATATTTTATCAGTCAGCAATGCTTCATGTTTCATTCAAATGTGTAAATAAACTTACATCAGACAGAATTGTTTGAGTATGTTTTGCAGGACTTCTGTCTACTTTGCTTTAAGAGAAATGTATAAACAACTTCTACATGCTTATTAAAGAAGCTGGTAAATGTACCAAGAACTGTGATCAAAACTACTATATTCATCTTGATTTTTCTTTTTCCCCTAAGCTGGATGCAAATGAGACAGAGGGAAGAAAATACAGGATTCGACCAGACTTTAAAGAGGACCCTTCATTCAAACGTTTAACTGATCACAACCATACAGCTGTCCATATTCCTACTGACATCTATGATGGCTGTAAGTCCTCAGATGCACAGACAAACACACACCCATGTGTTGGGTCATACTAACTTTGTGGGGACTTTCCCTTGACATCCATTCATTTCTTATTAACTTCTATTGCCTAATCCTTTCCCTTACCCTAAATCTAACCATTACCAACACATACCTAATCCTTAACCTGACTTAATCTCAATTCATACATTAGTTCTAAACCAACCCCCCACCCCAGAAAGAGAACCTTTACTCATGGGGACCAGTCGTTGGTCCCTACAAATACCTATAATTCCCAAAATTGTAACATATTTCTGAGAAAATGTCCCCACAACAAACACCACACACAACACAACACTTAAACTCACTCATAAACCCAAGTGGTAACCATGGATACGGCTGACATATCTAACTATTAGAAATAATCTTGTAAACAGATTGTGCTTCCAGCAAACGTACCCTTGGCTAAATAATGTTTTTTAAAAGTGTAACAGCATGATGAGTTCTCAAGGTTCCTGTTGGGTTGGATGGTGTTAGTGAAAAGAGGATCTTGTAATAAGTGTTGTTATTGCAATTTTTTATTAATTGTAAAACACAAAGTATTTATATCCTTTTTCATAAGGAAGACGCTTTTATCATGAATGCAGTTGGGTTCACTGTACACTATATCATCATAATAAATTAAATAAAAAAATATAACATTGTAAGCATGTCTTGTTTGACATAAAATATCAGTGATTTTTGCGTTTTTGTATTTCATGTAGAAGAGTTAAAGTTATTTTTATAAGTAAAAGGCCTAACATAAAGGACCTAATCTCACATAAGTACAAACAGTTGCTCATAATGATAAATATCTCAACTAACATGTTTAGGAATATGTCTACCTCTAGCCTGCATGACGTGTTGTGTGTGGTTTATGCATGTGGTAAAATGCTATTTGCTTAAGTTATAAACGATATACTATATGTTTGAAAGTTCTTTGCGCTGGTTTTAAGGAAAAGTGTCCCAGCCTTATGCACATAATGCACACAAGTGGAATTATTATCAGCAGAGATTACTAATCCTGTCTTTATAATTATTATTTTTATTTTTTCTGACACTTTTTATGTTTTTGTACGGTGACCTTGAGTGTCCAGAAAGGCACCTTTTTAAATAAAATGTATTATTATTTATTATTACCCTAGATTTCAAAAAGTATTTTCCAAAAAAGAAATAAACTGTGCTGTGCCATCAGTAATTGATTGAAAACTTTGTTTCTGCAGCTATTCATAATTTTAATTTTTTTTTATTAATCTAGTGATTATTATTGTCATTTAACCTATGTGTGAATCAAAACCACAAAAAACCAAACAATTATTGTACATTTTGAATTGATTCGAAATTGTTTAAAAAAAATAAAATGAAATGCTAAGAAATAGAGAATATTTAAAGAGAAAGTTGGTATCCAACATGCAATATGTGTGTGTTTATGTGTCCTTGGTTTTATCAAGAGATCAATTGAGTTTAGGAGAACACATACAGTTATGAGTGGAATGTAATACTGTGGAACAGGAGAATAGAGATAGCATGAAGTTCTCCAGCAGCCTTATGGCACGTTCACAACGGAGTTGAAGGCTGTGCATATTAGATGCACAGCGGCTTCAACATGTTCACAGCAAAAAGCATAGTAAAATAGGAGGAGCTTGTGCTTGTATTTCAATTTCACATGGCAAACAGGGATTCTATCAAATAAGTCACATAGCTTGTTTTGCTGTAGAAAGCAGAACAACGGTGTTGGTCTCGAGGTCTGTGGGTCAAACCAATTCTCCAGAAATGGAACCAGTTGGAGATTACCACCACCAACTCCCAAGAACTGCATTTGGATGATGAGTCGATGTTACCTCCTTGTACTGTACCTAGCCAAAAGATAGCACCAGTGCGGAGAAGAGCAGCAACTGCAGAGGTCTGTGCTGAAGCTGGTATGATGAATGATACAACAGTCCTGCTGAGGGTGATCGAAGGAGGACAGCGGTAGATAGGCGACAGTGCATAAAAGTGCGGAGAGGTGGTATTAACTTGCTGGTAGCTGTGTTGGAGATCAGGAATGGAAAACAGTGGTTTTAGGGATAAATTAAAACACATTTTAAAAGCCACATGAAAACCTTTAAAGGCATTGTTTATTTTTTTACTTTATTATATATCTATTTATACAACTTATATATATATATAATCTTATATATCTTATTTATTATCTTATTAAATGGATCCAGTCGTTTTAAGTTTCTGACCAATCAGCTCCTTTTCTTTAAAAACTGATCCGAAGTCAATAACCTTTGTTTTGTCTGCATTAGTCTTCTCTCTCTTCAAAATGAAAAAAATTGTTGAAATTGTGCTTTGAATTAGCCTTTTCATGCTGAGAGAAAAATGAAAATAATGCAAAACCCCGTACAGCAGTGACATTGCCCATATTGACACAGGCAGACTGTTTGGTTAGATCGCCTTTTAAAGGTCAGTGCTGTCAGTGTGTTTTTAACAGTAATGATCCTTGGCACAGACTCAGTTTTAATGTTTAGAAATAAATTAAGAAAGATGCAGTTTTTGCAAGTTTTTTTGTTTGTTTGTTTTGACTTGTTTGAAATCTGATGTCAGAAACAGCAAGAAGCTTTTCCTGAGTCTTTTTAATCTTAACGACTGATTCATGAATATAGATGGATAATTATGACTTACAGAATGATTGAAGATGATGAGCACCACTTTATTGTGTTTGATTAGTGGTGTGCAACACAGTCAAGTGAAAAAAAACAAACAAAGGTCTATTGCTTCACAATGCTGTTAGATTATTAAACGTCTCAGAATAACATCAGTTGAAGTTGAATGCATTTTGTGGAGTAATAGAATAGAGAATACCTTTGTTTTTCCACAATGGGGAAATTCTGGTGTTACAGCAGCAAAAAGATTATAGCAAAAGTGGTCACACAAAAATAACATAATAGTGAAGAGATAAAAAAACGAAAAAAAATACTGTACTTTAAAGTGTTTTTACACTATGCTGTAAATACTGTGCACCTGGAGAATAAATAACCAATATACAGCTTTGGACATTTTTACAGTAATGGATATTTGAAAATAACAGCAACATCAGAGGTTTGCAAAATGACAGCAGCATGTTATTTAACTGATTAAGACAGAAACCGCACAAAAATCATCAGGAATGTAACAACTTTTTGATGTCGTGGGAACAGTGGTGGTTATAAAGTCTTAAAGCTGGGGATGCAGCAGTCTGTCACTGAAGGCACTCTCCAGTTCAGCAACAGCTCCATGCATGGGGTGGAAGACATTATTCAACAGAGATGTTAATTTAGTTAGGATCCTTTTGGTTCCCACCTCCTGCACTGAGTCCAGAGGGCATCCAATTCCAGTCGTAGGTCTTTAAAAGTGCCCCCTGCACTTCAAAAGACCTCAGTCTCCTCAGCAGTCCAGTTTGTTATTCAGGTAAACACCTAGGTACTTATAAGAGTCCACCATCCTATTGTGGCTTCCTTGGATATGCACCGTTTCAGTGGGGTGGATCTGTTTTTGCGAAAGCTTCTGCGAAATGTTGTAGATGAATAATAATGCAAAATCATAATATTTCTTGCCTCAAGCAAGATAATACTATCATACATTCTGAAATGAAAGTGTCACCATGCTAGCACATTTCCAATGTTTTTCTGCTCCTCTCTATTTATGTGTTTTTATACCTGAATTTTAATACAGAATTTTTCTCAAGTATTACCATTTTATACAAACTATAGACATTGACAGTAATAGCATGTAGAATATACAATCTGCATTGTTTTACAACAAGCATTGTGTATTGAATTGTTTTTCCTATATGAGTCTTGGAATGCATCAATTCACTGAATTCCCTATGTTCTTTTTTGATTACAGTGTTTTGTTTGTGTGAAATGACATTGAAGATTAATTAAATATAAAATGTTTTAATATAAAAGATTAGTCTGTGATGATAAGCTATATAATGTGATTTGTTTTGTTTTTTCTAATTGAGTGACCGCAATACTGTAGAGACTTAGATAACCTTTATTGTCATTTTGTATACACACAGTGTATACAAAATGAAATTTAGACAGTAAATGAGAAGAAGCTTAGCAGTGAAATTAATATTTCCATTTCAAAAAGTGCAGCAGTGAACGAATGCAAAAGAAAAACATGGTGCAAAACGCATTGATGTGGAAGCTGAGAACACTGCAAAGACAAATATATATGGTGCAAAAAACGGGACTGTAAATGGACTTTTTGATAATATTCTAATTTATGTAAACTCAAGATTTTTTTTTCTACAGAATACAATGAACAAAAAAAAAAAACAGTTTAACATTTTTCTTGTATTAGATTGTTATTATTTTTAAGTTAGAATGTTATTATCATCATATCATATGATGGACAATTTTAAGCTTAGCCAAATTCCACAGATGCACTATTTGAAAATATGTTTCTGGAGTGGGATATGTTTAAGTGTGGAAGTTAAAAAATAAATTCACTTTTACATTTATACTTAACACTTTATGTATCTTGGAAAATATCCTTTTTTCTATTCTAAAGATTCTTCAAATGGCAAAATAATCAATAAAACAGTGCAAAGCTCTCTTACAAATTATCCATTTTGTTGCCACAAAAATAAAAGATATATCATAAAGAAATGAATAAATGAATAATTCATAATTTCATATAAAAATTGATAAACATTGACTAAAAATATCAACTGGCAACATTGTGAATTTACTCCAAATTATGAGAAATACTTTATCAATTTGAAACTCTTCATAAAAGAAAGAAATATCTTAAATAACTCTTTAGATTGGTGTTTTTCTAAGTTGGGTGTATATGATTCGGAAAAATTATGTCAAGTCATCCATTCATGTCCGATATGGCTAAAAGCTAGCTGCTGTGCTGACTGAGATTTTAAGAAATCCTTTGGGTCTAAGGATTGTGAGCAGTAAACACAAAATAATTATAAACATTAGTGACTTGAGTAATTTGGGTAAGTGGTGGACTCTGAAATTCTCCTTTCCAGAAGGTAAAGATGTACTTAAAATCATACCCACATATTTACAGTACATACTTTAGTAGCCAAAAAAGAGACGACAAAGCAAAAAAAAGCATATTTTGGTGTAAGCTGTTACAAAGACCTTGTAGGCTGCATGTAATAAAACTCCATTTCTGATCCTTTCATTATAATTTCTTGACATTTACCTTAAGAAGTCACAAATAATATGATTCCCTAGAGTCTTTCTGACATTACAACTTCGCAATCTGAATGTCAATAACTGGAAGGTGGAATGTTGAATATTTTCGCTAAGTAGAGTGGCTTCTGTACTGTCATGTGTTGTGGCTTGTCTTTTCCTCTACCACCCTTTCTTGAATTACGTTGGAGGGATTCTTTTAATGTGAGGCTTCAGTGATGGTCTTAAGCATATGACAACCACAACTCAAGCTCTCAATGAGTTTCAGTGACATGAATTTGGATATTGGCATGTATACTGTTTTGCCTGTTAACTCAAGTTTCTGCACTTTTTCTGTGTTTGTACAAGAAAGGATTTTTGTGTTTGTATTTAGATCAGGAAAGTCATTGTGTGCAGCTGAATGAAGTGCGTCAGCACTGACTTAGAGGGACAGCAGGATGGCGTGACTTCCACAGCAAGGATTTCAGCCTGCTGGGGAACAGTCTGGCTTCAAGGTTACATGGGCAACCCTTCTGTTGACTTAAAACCCCAGGTATAAATGAGGGAGATGATTGGTAGATACTGTAGATGTAAGTAAATATTGGAGATTGTTAAGTCAAAAACTTAAACTCTTGTTTAGCATAAGTTTGTACAAGCTTTACCTTTCCTTTCTCGACATGGCAGATTTTAGGTTGGCATAAAAAAAACTAAAAAAAACAACAACCATATCCTCTGTGTGTATTGGCTGCTGGTCTTTAAGATTTTATGCCTACATAGTTGGCAGAACAGGTCATGAATAGGTATGGCTTTCATCCAGCGGGGAACTCTATCATAGCGGGGGAACTCTATCGTTTATCATAGACATTTACATTATTATTAGGGTTTAAAGCCCACCGAATAGGCAGAATGGGTAGATAGTGTAAATAGAATGCATAGATTACCTACCTATCCATTGGCTTAGGTAAAGCTGTTCACATGTTACAACATAGCAAATGAACTCTTTTTTTTGTATAGGTTTCCCTATCGTTATTATTTTTTGTCCACTAAAGCACACTATGCAGCTAATGTAAATGTACTAATTGATTGTAAAAAGTTTAGAATCCAGGCTGCTCTTCAAACAGGTGCACCTATATCTCTATGCGGTACAAAATGCATGTAACTGGTTTGTCGGATTATTGCTTTGCCTTTTATGACATGGATCACACCACATTCAGCTTTACTTAATTTATCACTGCATGCCTGTACAACTGTTGGAGTTGCTTTGGGATGCAGTCCAAATAATGTGATTTATGCATTGATTGAGCATGTTAGTTGGCTTGCACTGAGGAGGTGGACTTGGTGGCCTGTGCCTGGAACCCCTACATTTTTGCTCATTGCCTCTCGTTAAAAGTTTTACATGCGCAGTAGCTCCTTCGCAATACAGAAGTATAGGAGAGCTCAGGGCACAGCTCTGGTGTGCCTCAAGGTGACAGAAACTGTTGTTACAGTTGTAGTGCGGGTGATTGACAAGCCGAGTCCCGGAAGGGAAGCAAACAAGAGACACTGGAGGTGAAATCGTTTGGACCTGATTGGTCAAAACATTAAAATTAACAAACACCTAAACAAAGTTTTGCATAATTGCTCTTAAATAAACATACTCTCATAAAATAAATATATATTAAGAAAATATAAGGTTGAGTAATAGCTTCTCCATTATTAAACTGATACAGTATGTCTTTTTAGGTTTGTGACACCATGCAAAACACTGGTATGCCTTCACAAAACCACAGAAGGGCACAATTTATGTACAAAAAGTAAACCTTAACATGAAATTATGTTTTGTTTTATAAAGTGTTTTTATTAAGTTTTTTTGTTGTTGGCATTCATTAGATACACTGGTCTGATAACTTAGTATACGTTCAACTGGTTTTTGGTTGTTTGCTTGTGTACACCTATTTTTGAATTTACAGCCCCCCTGGAGAAAACTCCTCCAGCCGCTACTGATAAGCCATTACACTGTCACAGTACACAGTATGTTGTATTAACGTTGGTATGGTATTGCCAAGCAGCATAATAGTTGTTGTAATGGTGTCTTAACACCTGCTTGATTGCAGATATACAAAAAAATTTGTCTACTAGAGGAGGGGTCCCCAACCACCGGGAAGCGGACCGGTATATATATATCTATATATATATATATCTATATATATTATAGATATATATATATATATAATTTATCGACGAGTCTGAGTGATGTTTTATTTTGAAAAATATTAAAAATTGCGGTATTCTCTCCCATTTACATCAGTCGGTGCATCTGTGCCTCTTGACACAGGTTAATTCAGTTCAAGACTCATGCTATCTATAACATCCTATCTTTGTGAAGCAAGATTTTTTGCGGTTACAGCGACCAAAACAAAGCTACGGAGCAGACTGGACATCAGGAGCACACTTCGTCTGTCATTGTCTCCGATTACGCCTNCTATCTATAACATCCTATCTTTGTGAAGCGGGATTTTCTGCGGTTACAGCGACCAAAACAGCACACTTCGTCTGTCATTGTCTCAGATTACGCCTAGATGGGACCGGCTTGTTGTTTTATTTTTATGCTGTTTGTATTTGATTTTATGCCAGTCGTATCATTTCCCCCCCATTTCTATAAAAATGTTGCCAGAAATATTTGCATTTTCTGCAACATAAACAAACAAACAAACAAAAAATCATTTAAGTTTCTGCAGTTGTTAATGTTAGCAGGAATGTCAATTCTCGCCCATTTGTTGTGAGACTCTCGCATCTCAGTGTCTTCAAATGCTCACACTACATATCCATTAAAATTCAATTCCATTTCACTTATTTATATATAAAAATACAGTCCTGGTAAAAAATCTGCTACACATTTTCAAAACAACCTCAGTGCTAACACACATGGACATGCCATGTTCATACGTGCTCCGTGTTTTTGCACCAGCCAACCTTTTCCCTGTGCTGACAGCAGTAGTGTTTTTTTTAGTAAGCTTTACTCCTTGTTTGCTCTAGTTTAGCCACCTGATTAAGTCCCAGCTTTAGTCCATGTTTTGCTCAGAAGAAATAAATATTGCTCAGTCTAGTTTAATAATCTCCAGTTGGAAATTTGGATTAATTAAGCCAACACAAATATCTAAATTGTTAAAGCTTTCAAGTATGCCTCACAAACCCATAGGAAGTCCACAAAAAAGATAAAGAACAATTACAGCCACTCATCCATCAATCCAATTTCCGTCACGCTTCATCCCTGCTGGGGTCGCCATGGGTGCTGGCGCCTATCTGAAGCTGTCTATGGCAACAGGCAGGGTACACCCTGGACACGTCGCCAGTCTATCGCAAGACAACCTGGACAAACAACCATTCATACACACACACTCACAACTACATAGAATTTAGAGAAGCCAACTAACCTAACTGTCATGTTTTTGGACTGTGGGAGGAAGCCGTACCCAGAGAGAACCCACATATGCACAGGGAGAACATGCAAACTCCATGCAGAAAGACCCTGGGCCGGGAAGCGAACCCGGAACCATTTTGCTGCAAGGCAGCGGTGCTGCCTAAACATTACCAGAATATAGAAAATAATGTATATTGTCGGAAAATATTCCACATAACTACATATGACTTATTATTATTCATTAAAATGTACTGTGCTATAAAATTCCATATTTTTCTCACTTTGTTTCAGTTAAATCCTTTGAAAACCTTTAACCTATAGCTACACATATGCTCATATCCTTTCCATCTAACCCTAACAAAGGTTGCCTATCCACACTCTTTCAAAATCTCACTCCAAGGTTTGGTGAAAAGTAGCCCTATGTTAGACCTATATTGGTCATCAATAAAAAATTATATGTACAACTTAAGGTCCACAAATGTGTGCTCACATAAATTGATAAACAAACCTTATAACTTGTAGCCTGCTGGTTTCTGTATTGCAGCTACTATTGTACTGAATGAGCTCAACTGGACAGAGGCATTAGAGGATGTCTTTAAAAAGAACAGAGAGGATGATCCAACACTCCTCTGGCAGGTGTTCGGCAGTGCTACAGGCCTAGCCCGCTACTATCCAGGTAAGGAATCCACCAACTAAAAATATTTCATTTTCTCAAGATACAGCTGTTGGCTCCATACATTACCTACTTTTCATATTGCTGGTATCTTATGTGACAACATACTGCAGATAAAGGCACCACACTGTTCAGATGTAACATAATAACCACTAGCGGGTGAATAACTGATTAGCTATTCATCATGCTCCCTTTTAGTGGGCAGAATGAAAAAGGTTGTGGCAAAACCTTTTGTGTGTCTGGTATGTAAAAAGAAACAAGCAAATTAGAACTGAGATATGTATGTTGTTGCTAAAACAGGAATTGTGACAAATTTAAGTCTTTGAGCAAGTCTTACAAAGGCAGAAAAGCTCAAAAATTGGGCAAGAGCGTTTCCAAAACCAAAGCTCTGTGAGAGTTTTTCTTTGTTTGTAATGGCTATTCAACAAAAAGGCTTTAAAGAAGGAATGCATGGTAGCAAACAGATGATGGAGTTATGAGTGACTCCAACTCTCAAATGCAGGCAGGGAGAAATGGCTGGCCTGTGTTGTTGTATCTTACAACATGAAAGGAAGATGTTAATGCAGTTTCTATTTAGGGTACCCATGCTGGCACTGGTCTGTGCCAAAAGAACCAAGAAGGAGCATGTGTGCATTAATACTACACAAGAGAGTGATGTGAGATGGTAGTCGAGTTGCCACAAATCTGAAATAGCTTATAAATGTTTTTACAAATAAAACAAAGCATTTGTCTCTCTTCTGCTAATATTTGTTTATCAGATATTCAGTTCACCTTATATTGCATTCACACCAAAAACGATTCAAGCCGTTTTATTGTCACATTTTGCCAGCAATTCGCAAGGTGGGAGAAAACATTCTGCTCCTGTTGCAGGAGCTTCTATCGGCTGCTTGCCCCTGTTTACTCAGCTCGCTGATCTGGATTTTACTGAGTCACTGTTCTTTTTTCATTAAGGAAATATGAAGCCAGAATTCTGCTATTAAAAGCACACGAGTGATACTGTAAATACTCAGAGGAGATGTTTTTTTTTTTTTTTTAAGTTAGGCTAAAACATTTAATAGAAAGTGCTCTCCTGACGTTAATTACTGTCAATACTAGTCGTCATATATATTCATATACTAATGAATAAGAATAAGGCAGTTTAACAAAAAAAAAGCTCCTTTGCCGATTCCGTTTTTTGCCCATACTGAACTGGAAGTGTGATGTCACTCCGGGATATTTTCTACCCAACATGGTGGATCTGCACCCTGTAACAGATGTATAGTGACAGAAATACCTGTGTATCTTCATCAAGTAAACATGTTCCCAGAGATGACGAGAGAATCTACTAACTTTTTACACTTTCTTGAGTAATTTATTTATAGGCTATGTTTAACTTTAACTGAGTAAAAATATGATGAAGTAGTGCTACTAATACTTCAGTATAATCTTCGGGTAATCTGCACCTAACCACCTCTGCATGCTTCTAAAGAATGTGTACCCTGCTGGGGAAAAGTAAACCACATATGTATTAATATGTATAATGTTAAATAATTGAGATTAAATCGAGTCAAACTGTTTTAATTTATAGTCAGTATAGGTTTCTTTTTTCAAATGTTTTGCTATCCCTGTAACATGTATGATTGACCTGCATCTACTTACCTGAAGCTCTGTATTTGTCGTAGCATTCTTTGAGATGAAAGCCTGTGCATTCCATTTTTCCATTACGTTATTTGATAATATTTACAGACAGTATAAAACCTGCCACAGTTTAGTTTCTGTGATGAATTTAGAAATCCTTCCAACCGACCAGTTGTCATAAAATGTGTCCTATCATGTCTGACAGTGACTCACTGCTGAGCCATATTTAATGCTGCATATTGCAAGAGTCTTGCAGTCAGATTTGTCAGAAATTGAACCAAAATAGGAATTAGTGTTAATTCTATTTAATTATAACCAAGATTATAATAAGCTTGTATTTGATCTCTTTTTATAGCCTCTCCGTGGATGGATGCTCGCAAAACTCCCAGCAAAATTGATCTGTATGATGTCCGCAGGAGGCCATGGTAATAAAACTGAAGAGAAATATGCTCATTGGCCATTCTAATAGGTATATCCGTTCAACTGACAATTAAGCCAACATTATCATGGTCAAAAGCATTTCAAAAAACTCAATGCATTTAGATTTGCAATTCTGTTGGAATAAGAAAGATTTTTTAAGTAAAAGTACCCCAAAGGCCTCCAAAGTCACCATATCATGTTCAAATACACCACTTTTAAATGGCATGAACAGGAGACTAACACCATTGATGTAAAACTAAGAAATTGCTAAAACATACGTAATCAATCAGGGGACCATCCTAGTACTAGCACACTATACCTAATAAAGTGGCCAGTAAGTGTTTATATAAAAGCTTTTTCTTTACTTCGCTCTCCTTGTTAGTAAATTTGCAATTTCTCTTTTAGTTTTGACTTACTATTCAGCACCAGAAATGAAAACTGATCCTATGTATTGTAAACAAAATATGTATTTGCAAATACAAATCTGTAATTGTCTTTTTTAGGAATTATGAGATCCTTACAAGTTATCAGAATAAACTGTTAAAAATTTGATGATAAAAACAAATGGAAGCTCACAGTTTTTAGTCAGAAACATAGTTATATGCAGCTGGTTTTCTACATTAACCTTTGAAAAGTCTTTTCATAACTTTTTAGTAATAATTTTACCCTATATAAATAAAAATTATCATTAAAAGTTTTTCTTCTTCTTTCTTAAGTTGATTTATTATGTCTTTGCATATAACTAATTGTCATAATGTCTGGGTATTGCATATGAAACGTTCTTTTTTATCATTCATCAAGGTATATTCAAGGGGCTGCTTCACCCAAAGATATGCTAATCCTTGTGGATGCGTGAGTATACGAAAAACCCATACAGATCAATGATCTTCTCACATTGTCGTCCCTTTTTATGATGTTTTTTTTTACCTGCTTTGATATATTTTTCCTTCATATTTCTGACAAAATTCTTTTCCACACAATCTCACATGTAAAGGGCTGAGCTGATACTGTGTGAAAGGCTTCTGGGTGTTTAATACTTTTTTTCCCTTTTCTTCCTGTAGAAGTGGGAGTGTCTCTGGTTTAACCCTCAAACTAATCAGAACATCTGTCAGTGAGATGCTGGAGACACTGTCTGATGATGACTATGTAAATGTTGTTTATGTGAGTATTATTTAATCTTCCTCTTGTGTAAAGCTATCTGTTTTTCCATTTGCCTTTCATTTTCACATAAGATAGGAATGTAAACATGTCCCTATATATATATATATATATATATATATATATATATATAGTTATTATTTTTTTGCTTCTGTTCTGTCTGCAAATAATCAAGTTAAAGCTGTACAGAAGTTAGTATACAATAGGGGCAAAGAGATTGAGACAAATAATTAAATATAGATTTATGGCCCCTCTGAAACAGACATTTCATATAAAAATCACACACCTCTATTTGTTACTATAGATTAGAACCCTGCCATTAGTGCCCCAGATGTAAACAGCTGTGGCTGAACAATCCCATTGCACCTCAAAAAATTAAAGCTGTGCAGTGACAGCAGTAAAACCGGGGAGGCAGTCATCCATCACTTTCTTTGCCTTTAAATTGTATGTTCCTTTAGTCAATGTGGGTTACAACTTCTCTCAGGTTTTCATCAGTCCCTCTGTCCATCACTTTGATTTATCACATGATCTTATAATCTCCATTTTTCTCTTTTCAGAGTAAATGCATCATTTTCTTTATAATTACTTTTCTCACTTACCAATCACCCCTACTATTTCCCCTCTACACATTTCCTTCTACTAAAGACAAACCGCCTTTTGCGATTACATTTAGAACAAACCAATCAAGAGATTACTTTTCTGGTACCTGGAGAGATCTTTATTACAGGGGGATTGTAGATCTGGGAGAGGGTAGTCGACTGCTCCATCTCCTCTCTAAGGGAATCCTTTTGTCTTCAAAACAGTGCAATCTGGTTAATTGTTAGCTTGAAATTGTAAAAGACATTTTAAATCAGCAAACTCTGATGAGCTCAGTGAATCATATTAATATCCCTTCTCCACAAGTATAAAACTCAGCAACTCAGTCAGAAAACTACTGGTCACTAATTCTTAAATGGCATAAAGTCTTTTGTTTTACATTAATATTAGCATATGTTTAGTGGGCCTAAAGTGTTTATGACCATGTGGCATTTGCTTACCCTGATCTGTTTTCTAGCTTGTTCGATAGCACACCATGGCTTCCTTCTCTTTCCCGAACACATCTAGAGTGCTTTGTTTTGTGACTAGCAGCCTTTTCTACTTCTTGTCATTGGTACGAGTTTGACTAAAAGGCATAAAGATTTCAAAAAGTCCTCCGTTGTTGATGTGTTTTTGATGCATACAGACAAAACAAGGTCAATAGAGTTGGTATTAATGGAAAGAGGGCCTTATTTGCACACTAGAGCATTGTCTGGTTAAAATGAAAAAGAAAAAAAAATGTTTTCTACTCTTAATGTACGACACAATGGTGTGTGCTTTCTGTTCAAATGGATCAAAAAAAGGTCCTAAATGAAAGCATTTCAAAGCATCCCACTCTCTGATGGGAAGCCTTGTTACAGACATATTATTGTTGTAATCAGTAGGAAGATAAAGCCCTCTGGTAACATATCAGGGTAATTACCCACTTTTCAGTGCTTTTAAAATTATTTATTTTACAGAAAATATCATTGAAATTTTTACCTAATGACAGCCTCTCCTATTTACTAAAATATTTGTCAAGCACAAGGCAGAGACCACAGGATTATGATGTATTATATTAGAAACTGATAGTGTTGCTGTTTTAGACCTGTTATATCCTGATACAGTTTTTGTTTAATGTTTAGCATCAAGACAATTTTAAAATGAATATTTAGAAACTGTTACTAGACTTCCTTTTTTAATTGGTTGTATACACATGTTCAAAGAGTAATATGTGTATCTATTCCTGAGGGTGTTGTTACCTGTCACTGAATCACCAGTTCTTGATATTACCCATAAATCATTAACCTCACTAACTGTAGCCTTGGGACTAAGCTGGCATTGATGATGGAAGATCTTGGATCCAAACCTTAGCTGAACCGATCAAAGATTTTGAAGGATTCTTTTCTGTTTTTCATACATCTTCTCCACTGTGTTTTATTTTTTTCATGCTTTGACCCCTGCTCAACCCCTTTGGCCATCCCTACACCCCCCCCACACACACACACACACACCCCCACCCACATCCCCTAACCTCTCACAACCTCTATAACATTCATCCTGCGTGTTGAGCCATGTTTACCAGCACCAGTATAGCGAGTGTCACATGGTTACAAGGCAGAAATGCAGAGTGTCTGGCGGGATTAGAGTTTGGAGATTAGCCGTCTTTTCTGAGTCATCGCTAATCCATTTCTAAAGCCTGGACGATGGCACACACATACGAGAGCTGTTGTAATAGGATCCCAGGAGAACTGTAAAATTCAAAGTTTCATTCACATGTATTTTGTTCAGTCCTCACTTTTTTTTTCTCTGTGGGTATAATAAGCCTAGTTTGGAGTAGAAAATAGGATCCGTCTCCTGGTGGAGATGATGAATGTGTTATATGAGCTTACTATGAAATTTTCAATTTCCTGCCTTTAAAACAACTTTTGAATCCTGTCTTCACACCCCTCCCTTTTTGTCCTGTTCCTCTCATTCCCACCTTCTGCTCTCACCTCAGTCACGTCTTCTTTATATTGAATATGTGATAGGAAATCTCTGTTTGCTTCATGTTTCCAATTATAAGCAAATGTATAATTCTTCCGTTTGTGTGTGCCTTGCTTGTAATTATGTTTCGTCACCCTGATCTATTTGTGACAATGCATATTATTCCAGAGATAGTCCTGTATTTTACTATTCCTCTGATAGGAATTTTAGTGCTGTGAAATACAGAGTGGGAACCTTCTGTCAACTCGTCTGTGCGGATCAGTTATCAGCTCTACAGACAGTCTCACAGGGAAATATTGATTAGTTTAAAACAATGGAGGGCATTATTGGTTTACAACAATTCTGCAACACAAAAGTACTGATCACTCTGGTCATAGTGTAAATAGAAAATACAAAAAACATAATGTTGTCAATGAGCTGATTAAAAACTCAGTTTAAGTCGAATTACATATCATTCTACATGCTATGTAACTGTTAAAGAGTCGCTGCGTATGTTGAAGTTGTGGCTTTGAGGAATTTTGCATATATATTATGTCGGGTTGAGATGAGTAGGTCTCACCTTTGAAAAAAAAAATATGATCCTGCGGCCTATCCTCATTTTTATATAGCAGAATCTTGTTTCCATGGGTACCGAATCGTTGAGCTCCAAGGATGTGAAGCAATTAGTGGGGCTTGATGAATGTGTCTGTTTACCACTGCCTGATAACAGGCAAGGCCAGGTGGGAGTGTTTTCCATGCATGCGTGTCTGCAGTTGCGCGTGCATTCATATTTGTTACACATGCACATATGCTTTAATTGTATAAATAGTTTTGGGTCACAACTTCATTCCTCTGTTTCTCAGTTTAACACCAGGGTGAAGAACACAGCCTGTTTTGACCATCTGGTTCAGGCTAACGTGAGGAACAAAAAGCTACTGAAAGATGCAGTGCAAAACATTACAGCCAAAGGAATTACAAATTACACAAAAGGCTTTGAGTTTGCTTTTGAGCAGCTTAATATGGTGAGTAAAAAATGTTTTTTTGTCAGACCTCAGTTTTTAGCAGGAACGCAGAAACTGATGTAAGTTTTGAATGAACATTGCCTCTTATGGCTTTATGGTTCAGTGAGTTTAAAGTGTTGTCTGCACTGCCATCTGCTGGTTGAGGGTAGTGTCTCATTTATGGGTTTGGAAAGGGACCGAATGTGTCAGAAGAATAGACTGTCTTTTATTGAATAATAATAGTAATCTCTAAAATTAGCCAACATAATTTTGATTCAAAGTTTTAACTCCAACCATGTGACTGTCCAATGAAGCCTGTCCCCTATATTTTTTAAAGAGCAAAATTATTGTTTTAATCATAATACATCATGTTGATATAAAGCAGTTTATTTGATCATATTGTTTTTTTTGTATGGAAAGTAGTGTTCTTGTGTTTTTTATTTGTGTTGCTTAATGATTATGCAAGGAAAAAGCTTTTTACTGTAAGCAGCCTGCTTTAAAGGAGAAGAATGAAAGTGCCCTGACTCAGAAGTTTATGTCTGATTTTTTCATAGACTAATGTGAGCAGAGCAAACTGCAACAAGATCATCATGCTTTTTACGGACGGTGGAGAGGAACGAGCTCAGTCCATACTGAAAAAATATAATTCAGACAAAAAGGTAACTACAGGGGTTGGCAAATACATTTGATTATGGGTGACTGTTTATACCATGACTTTTGTTCTGGCTGAGGTAAATAGAAGGCAGAGGAGAAAAGCAAAGTTTAATTGTCAAAACAAAATTAAATATGCTTCAAAGAAGGACTTCTCTAAACAAAGATCCGAGTGAAAAAATGATAAGTTCCAAAGCTGTCTGAAAACGAAGAACACAAAAAACTGATCAATCCAAAGTAAGGATATGTGAAAATAAATTGCCTTGTTGTTGGTTCTGACAACTTCCATCAAACTCAAGTGAGAACTGGCAGGAAATATACAATGCAACTCTGAGGGGTACTCCTTTTATTATTTTTATTAAGTCACAACTTCTTTTAAGTCATTGAGAATTAGGACTTGCTGGTGTGCTTTACATCATTGTTTTGAAGCATAACATAAAAGTATGTTAAATTAGGGCACAATTTGATAGCTGGACATTCTTCCTTAGAACCTTCCATCAGGTTATTGACATCCTGAAACAGAAAAAGAGTTCTGGTCCACCATGCTACCAACACCATGTTTAACTGGTGGTATGGTTTTATTTTGCAGAAAGAATTATGTTTTGTGAGCTTTGGCTGATTACAAACCTTCCAAAAGGTTACACTTTTACTTCACCAGTCCCCTAAATGTTTTCCGAAACATTTTAAATGTTTTATTTTTAGTCAGTGGTGGTTCTTTCCTTGGAACTCTGCCAAGATGTTTTTTTTTAATTGTTGAATTCTCTATATCTTTTTGAGTCATGTGCCTGACTGCTAGTGGGTGAAATCAGGGCTTCAGTGTTTAAAATTTTCTTCTTGGTTGTTCTATTACAGTCTTAGAAATGCTATGGATACATTTGGATAGGTCACTCACTGTGGAGATGGTCCACCACTTTTCCATATTTTCTCCATTTGTGGGTAATGGCTCTTGTTATGGTACACAGGTTTTAAAATACCTTAGAAATGGTGTTTTCACCCTTCAAAGACTGTCACATGTCATGGAATTTTCTGCTGATCTGCTCTTGAATTTTGTTTTAAATCAAGGTATGTGGTTCATTTGGTGATTTTTGTGTGTGTGTGTGTTTTTTAACCTACTTAATTTTAATGTATGTCCTAAAGGACTGAGTTCTTTTTTTCCAGAGGTAATTTATCCTTGTCTCCTTGTATAGCTAGAAAACTGAACAATGGTGCAATATTGCATAAAGGGTAACTTGTGGGTTGCTGGTTTCAGTTCCCCTGCGTTTGTTTCCTTGGTCAAGACACTTCACCCACCTTTCCTTCTATTGGTTGTCAGAGTCTCCGTTAGCACCGATGTTTTGCAGCCTCATGTCTCAGAAATAAAATGTATTGCCCTATCTAATATACTGAAATTCCAGTTACTAAGACTAACTTTCAACATATCAGATCAAGCATAGTTTTTGGTCCAACACAATGTTGATATAATGTTTGATGGTATTTTAATGATATACTGAACCACAAATCAAATTTACTCAAATCTAAGTAAGAAAGCAGGATAGCTAATTTACTGAAAAACTGAAACACTCAACCAGTTCTTAGAGGGGTTCAGGTCTTTTTACTGAGTTGCAAATCTTCACAAGAACAATAAAAGTATATGATTCAAACAAGTTTTTTTTTTTGCAAAATAGGAGTTTTTCATTAATAAGGAGAGGGACACCAGTTGGGGATCAAAGTAAATTTATGATTCTGGTTATTTAAATTATGCCAACTACCTCCTACACTTTTAACCAAAAACCATTACCTAAAGCTAAGCAAATTCATCTTAACTCTTCAATAACACTTAAGGAATAAACATTGCTTACACTGTTTCCAAATCAAAATATGGCATTTTAACTTTGATTTACATTACAAAAAGTCAAAATTGGCAGAAGGCAAAATAATCTTAAAAATAGAATTGCTACTGCTTGTCAGAGATCAAACTGTGCATCATTTTTCTTTAAGCAGAAAGTATTTATTTTTATATTAATCCTCCACATCATCATCTGTACGTTGCACATTGAGAAATAATTCAGACACCCAGTTGTGCCTTTTTAGTAACATAGGCAAAAGTGTAGATAGACGGACGGACAGACAGACTCTTCCCTCTAACTTCAGCAAGTGGTCCTTACCTGGTCTAGATTCCCGTCTGTGTTACGTAGTTCCATTGTCAATGTATACAATAGTTGTTCTACTGAGTATTTACATGGCTTAAGTGTTTATTCAAATCTATTTATTAACTAATTACTCTTTTCATTGTTCTGTACTAGGTCAGAATCTTCACCTTCTCAGTCGGACAACACAACTATGATAAAGGACCCATTCAGTGGATGGCCTGCTCCAACAAAGGTAGCCTACATGGTCTCAGCCATTGCATTTCTACAGTGATCAGTTTTTTTACTTAGAGACAACTTTTTACATTGGATCAAAATGTCAATTATTTTTATACTTCATATGGTAGTCATATAAAAAAAATCTGAAGATCCAAAGGGATGAAGTAAAATCACAGGACAAGTTAAAAAGAAGGGATGTTTGAAGTTTATTTTTCCCGGATGTTAAAGTCTTGTCATTTACCCAGGTTACTTCTATGAGATTCCTTCCATCGGAGCCATCAGAATTAACACACAGGTCATGTTAGAATATAGTCTCTTCAAGAATTTAAGAAATGCATCCTTCTATTGAAGTACATCACAACAATCTGTTTTTGTTGCTTGTTAAATGTAGGAATACCTGGATGTCTTAGGAAGGCCCATGGTGCTAGCAGACAAACAAGCCAAACAAGTCCAGTGGACTAATGTATATCTTGACGCTCTGGTAGGACATCACCCATTTATGAACTCTTATACATTGCAGAACATAATTTTACCGGAAAGATACTTATCAGTGTTATCTCCTGAAAATGAATCAGGAACTTGGTCTGGTTATCACTGGAACATTGCCTGTTTTCAATAGAACAAAGACGGTTGATGACAAGAACAAAGAGGTAAAAGTAAAAAAATGCAATCAAGATACGTGGAGTTCCTTGGTTTTACTGACAATATTTCTTGACTTTTCCTTGTTTTTTGTTTTTTTCCACCTAAGATTCAGAATCAGTTAATTTTGGGTGTAATGGGAATTGATGTATCACTTGATGACATCAAGAAACTCACACCACGCTTCACGGTGAGTGTGATACTCCCAAATGCGATCACATGCATGCAGAAAAATGCATTTATCACCTAAAGTCTTATGACTTGTTACAGTGCTCAAACTTTCCTTATTTGTTTCTTTCTGAGAAGTGGATATGTAATAAAACTGAAATGTGTTGGCAGTCTTTATACAAAACCACTCGCAAAACAGAACATGCTGCTAATAATGCGATTTCTTTGTTCCAACTTGCTCTGGTGCTTTGGGACCAGTTAATCCCTCCTGCAAGTTTTTAACAACCCATTTGTCTGCAGTAACACCATAAATCTTTTCAATCCAGTGTTAGTACTCTGACGGCTGCCCAGCTGTCATGGGTTGAGAGGCAGAATATTTTCTAAGCAGGATGTCAGAGTACAAGGAAATTAACATTAATTCCTGCTCATACTCATACAAAAAAAAGGACATACTGCACTGTGAAAAAAAACAACAAAAAAAACATCCCAGCTAAAATATTTGGTGTAAAATGACCATGGTGCACATCAATGCACCATGATCCCACCTCCCATTTGCATTGAATAATAGCATTATTCGGGATTTTTGAACAGAGAGTTTATGTATTTCCTCTTTGTTCATCTTTACATCAGATTGGTCCCAATGGATACTACTTTGCTATTGATCCTAATGGATATGTCCTGCTGCACCCAAATCTCCAACCAAAGGTATGACAATTGCATGTCCAAGTCTTATATTCTAAATGAATATTATAAACAGCTCCACCATAACCCATTATGGTCATTAAATGTTATACGTTCTAGCAGATGTTACAGGATAGTGTGGAGTTGGTCAAAAGCTGGCAACAGATCAGACTTCAGAAACATTTACTCCCTTCTAAAAAATAGTCTGGAAGGTTACTTTGTTGTATGCGATATCATAGATTAGAAGACCTGGTTGTGAACTGGCATATATTCTTAAAACTAATGAGCTGTGGCACCGTTTGTGGTAATCTGTTTGGGATCTTTAAGTCTGATTATATTTGTTTTTCTGCACATTTTATCCTAAATTGAAGGCTTATATTTGCTCACAATTGATTTTTTAATGCTTAATATTGAAATGTGAAGCTAAGATATATACTTTAAACTGTTGAAATTCTGCTTAACATGAAAATGTTTAAGCCTGCCCGAGGCCATGGATTGTCACACAATTTCTGAGATGAATGCAGTTGGACTTTCAGCCACTGGCACACATTAAGATATGACCCCATAAAAATTAACCATGACCTTAGAAGAGGTTCCAGCCTTCCTTTCAACAAATCCCATTTCAGTTCACTACCTTCAGTTTCAGGCATGCCAGCACTGACAGGCTGTATGCTGGCCATGTGTTGCCCAGAGCTCTAAAGCACTTTGCACTACTCCATGGATCTGACACTGCAGACCACACACAGCCGCTTCACGCCAAGAAGTTATGGTTCGAATGATTTTATTTCTTAGTTTATTACATTCATGGATGTGGTAATTCATATCCTGTCAGTTCACATTAGTGTATGCCTACAACTTGAGGTAACTGAAGATAACATTAAAAACAAGTTGACTTTTATAATCGTGGTTGAAGACTTGCCCAGCTTGGAAGAAAGGAAAAAAGGGGAGGTTTAGTTTGTGTGATTAGGGCACTTTATGTATCCCGAGGTCACTGTGTCATCAGCTCTTCTTCCCCTGTATTTAAACATCAAAGTTTGTCACTGTACATATGTGTATAATTCTTTCTAGAAAAGGATTCGCAACAGGAAGCTCAGGCTCAATAATAAGTACACTGTCACATTTCATGAGGTGAGATAAACTAGTGACATTTAGATTGCTAAAGTAGCTTCATGGCAATTCTAAAAGGTTTTCTGTTTTCCAGTCCTGTAGACATAGCAGCAGTTGCTTTAGTAACCCATAATGTTCAATACGAGGATAAAAATAACATTTGATGTGCTTTGCAATCCTTTGTCACCAACTTATAGTTTCACCAAAACTTCCTGCTTAGCTATAAATCCAACTACTTATCCGACAGTAGTTAACAAATGAGTTGAAGCTCCCTACTTTCATACGCAAAAAAAAAAAAAGGTAGAAAAAAACATGCCTGGATACAGTATAGCCATAAAGGACTCATTCTTAACATTTTAGACATAATGAATTCTATTTTTTTTAATTAAATAATAAAGTAGAGCTATGCCTTTTATGTGATAAAGGAGACTTAAAGAAGAATATTGAATTCCCTGTAGGTCTGTAGAGGTTTTCCTCTTACTTCTTTATTGTTTTACTTGTAGCCAACAAAGATTTGGAAGATCTGTCATGGCATTATTTTAGAAGTGTGATTATTTGTCATAGTTGGCAAATAAGCACTTCAAGTTTCCTATTAAATTATTCCTCCGAGCAATGTGACCTTACGTTGTAATGAGGCTACCCCTGAAATGATCTCATTTTGAGCTTGCATTCTAGCAAGCTTATTTCCCATTAGCCCTCAGGTGGATACACTGTCTCACTGAATAAGTCAAATAACGAATTGAAGAATACTGATGGTGACCTTGAGGCTTGTTAAGCATCAGAATATTAAATATGTCATCCAAACCTCCTGGTTTGGTTTGCTGCTGTGTTTTTGCTTTCATCTCACACCCCAGCTTCCATCATTTCTGACATAGAGAAGTCTCTGTAATCGTTTTTATTCTTTCATTGTTCAAAGGGCAAATGAAACATGTTTTGGAGCCAACATCAATTGAAAACAAAAATGTATATATGTATATATATACATTTTGAGAAGAGGCATAACTG